GTCACTAGATAGAGCAAAGCAAGCTACAGTTGGCCTTTGAATAATCGCTTGAAAGAATCTAAAAATTCTGGAATACTTAGAAATCAGAATTTCTTCTAAAAAGAAGATTACTCATGTTGGAGCAGTTCAACATTGCTTTTGTTGAAGCATGCCAATTTCATCTCTACTTTTAGCCATGGAATAAATAGAGCACTTGTACTTTTGAAGCTGATGCGACAAGTGACTTTTCTAAGCACGTTGGAGGTTTGTAGGGTTTTTTGGGCAGAGGTCAATTTTGGGTATTGCAAAATTTCGGTCCTATTTTCAAACTTCTCACGTATCAACTTTTTGCGACTGTTTCAACATTTTCTTGTGGAGCTTGCTTTGCTCATCGAATGTTATATTCTATTTTCCGGAGTATAAGGCGCATTGTGCACCGCGCGCGAGCAGTTTCGCGACGACGCGGGCATGTGCGACGCCGCGAAGGCTGCGGTACTGACTTCTGTAACAGTTTTGTGCATTCTTTCTCTGTTAAATCTCTTGTGACCATGTGTTGCCTGAAAAATCAGTCTGCTCTATCTTTACTTCATCATATTTCGTTAAACAAAAATTTTACACTAAAACACTACTGTTATCTTTTGAAACTCGTCCAATATTTATCACTGAGTTTGTTTTGTCTACATCTAGTCAAGTTTTAGCTAAACTTTTCCGAAAGTTGAAAGCACTGACATCCTGACTCTGAAGCGCCCAATCAGCAATCTCCAGGTAAAGTAGATAAGTAGACCATAAAAGTACAGCTCAACCCAAGCCCAAACCTAGGGCGCAACTTCCGCGATAACGTTTGCGCGGCAGGTGCGCCTTCTACATGGGTGAGCCTTATACTCCGGAAAATAGGGTATTTCATTACTTATATTTTCCCTGCCGCGTCTGATCAAAGAACGTGCATAAATTCTGCATCAACCTGATGTTATACGAAGCATTACTTTTTTTGATAAGTGATTTAGCTTGCAGCTCTGTTACAGTTATGAGAGCTAACAAATGCTGGAACGAGTTTCATCTCATAGCCATTTCTGCAAACTGTACGCTCTGATGTGATTACCATTACGAATTTGTGTTGAAAGGTTCGCATGATCTATCACACCACTTCCATTCTAAATGTTGGCTCTTGCATAAATATGATTCTCACTTGCTGGTCTTATGGCAGACTTATAATTGGTGAAATCCTCCTGCCATATATGTGGTGTACTTCGCAGAAAATTCAACGACGTGTGGAACTGATACATATGAGTGCTGAAGAAAGGGTTGGAAGCGTGGATATTTCAAATCTGTTCCCTATTTCATCGTCCCATGAGCTCAACTTGTAAGGCGACCTAGCAAAAGTTTCAACCAAATGGCATCTACTTCATCTGTCTGTTTACTCTTCCGTTGCTACAATTTATATGCAAAGTCTAATCTCAAAAGCCTCTTGACTTCAGTTTTTCAAATCAAATATGGTGTTGCCAAAGATCTGCACTAACATTAGTGTCGCAGCGAGGGGGGGGGGGGAGAGAATGGAGCGCACGTCACCCTCTGCCCGAAAATGGGTCGCTAAACTTTTATGAAAATAGCTCACAATCAGAAAATATGGCTTATACAGCTATCTTAGCTATTATAAGTGGTGCAAGTGACTTATTTTCAGTGATAAACACTTGAAATAATTTTTGAATTTTTCAAAGTTCATACTACCTTGCAAAACTTTTACGAGTTATATACCGCAAAAATTTGTAGGGCCTCGGGCAGAGTTCATGCGATTCAATCATCGCGAATGTTTGCGACAAGACAACTGTAACAATATCATTGCCTGCCGATCTTCTTGCATGGTTGTGATAGTTTTCCAACACGACTAATTGTGACTAATTATCACAACCAAAATACAAGAAGATCGACATGCAATGACTCGTAACATTTGTCTTGTAGCGATGAATCGCGGCGATTAAATCGCGTGAACTCTGTTCGAGGCCTAACGCATCAATTTTTTCGGAGAGCGTGGGTAATGCCACGCTTCTCGATTCAGAGAACAATCTCATGGAATGTTGAACAAAAAAAATTAATATTCATAGTTTTTGCGGTGGTAATGATGGTGATGACAGACGCTCATGAAAATTTTTTGTATGAAGCGATCCATGAACCTCGATATATGTAGAACGCCCATTAATTTTACCACAGTCGGACATCATAGCGAGTCGAACTGGTTTTGGGTCCAGTGACCATCATAAACAACTACACTTTTGCAAAGAAGTTGGTGAACACCTTTGCAAGAATACTTCTTTCACTCGCACTGCAAACAAAAATTAATATTTTGTACGCATTGAATCCGCTGGAGGTGTTAATAAATAGTGATGTGCTGAAAGCGTTAGATAACAACATTTCATGCATCATCGACATTGCATGCCTTGCTATGTAATGCTTGTTTCAGCAAATTCTTGAAATTTTTTCTTTTGCATAGTTTCAATCGTCCCCTGGCGTTCCCATTCGTACAAGTGACGTGTATTTGAAGTGACTAGTTTTCATGCTAATCCCTACGAGACTAGCTAGAGAGCAGCGCCTGATTTCAAAAATGATTTTTCGGCAATGACGCAGGAACAGAATCCGCTTACCATACTATTTCAATGTGTGGGAGTGACCTCAAACACACTGTTGTTGTCATTTTTCGCAAGTCTCTATAAAACTCGCTCCGAGTTATCCTACGCATCAGCTCACACGCTCATATAGCTCTCATCAAGGTCAGCAGACTTTGGCCCACATCCCGTATTTGATTTTTTACGCAAAATCTCAAGTACTCACGCTTTCCGTGTGAAAAATTTATTTTTGGCAATGTTGTGCACTAACCACTTGAAGAAGGAGAAGACAACAAGAACGAATGATGATCAAACGTCCCCAAAATTCACGTAGCAAGATCGCGTGCAAATTTTAACCCTTTCCTTTCGGATTATTCAGTTATTCAAATCATGACCTTCTTTATTCTGGCTTTGAAAAAGTAAAGTTAGGTGCTCTGCAAAAGCTACTCAAGACGTTGTTAATTATATTTTCTGAGCTCCACTCAATTACTGTTAATCAACAACTTCTCAGGCACTTCGGAATTGAGTGGAGCTAACTTTTTGCATTGTAGCTTATCAAAAGCTAAGTTTTTTTTTCGAGCAAAAAACGGAAAGATAGGTGTGTAAATGAATCGGTAAATTTTACGTGGTCTCGTCCTATTTCCAACAACACACAGCCTCGGTCTTCACTGGTGCTTTCAAAGCACTCTATCTCATAGAGGATGATGCTTCACGATTTGCATCTGTATTTACAAGTGTATTATTAATTTTGCTACAATGCTGGTTTATTTTAGCGTAAGATATCTGCAGCATTTGAAAGCGTATACAAGGCTTGAATAATGCTATTGAACGCTTGCATGATCCCCATCAAATGTGCTTCAAATCATGTTTGTCTTAAGTAGGTTGTAATGACTAATGCTAACGAAATAATAACATAGTCTCTAACGTATATGTGGTAGGAGTTACAATATCCAGACTTGGTTCTTGCCAAAATTTGGTTCTGTCAGAGAAAATTTTGGCGACTGAGTCACAATAGGTCACTTCCCGAAACATCGTAGAAGAAGACGACGGTGTGACGTCAATTCTCAGCCAAAGACTTTTCATCTTTGTGAGGAAGCAAAATGAATGGAAAGAGTTTGCTAAGCACCACTTTTTGCTCATCGAACATATTTTATCGACACGGTTGATGAGACAGGTATGCGCCTCATGCACTTGCTACCCCTATTTTTAGTTTAATCTGCTCACAACCCTCTATTACACCGATTAAGCCCTAGTACCAAGAGTAATGATCCTCACCGTCTGCCATATAATAGTTTATCGAGTTCCGGTTATATTATGCACTAACTGATTTTTATACCTTGTCTCAAACCACTTGCATTGAAACTGAGAATTTCTTAAATATCTCAAACGCTTGCAAGTGATTTGAGATTGTCTTGCAAAATTATTTCCCTATGTGTGATTTCTATTCTCCTCCGATGCCCATTCTTTCACAGCTAATGGTGAATTTTCACTTTCTTTTGAAATTCACCTCCATACTAACTTCTGTGGTTGTTGTTGAGGGGACTTATTTTGATGAAAAGAATGCGAGAATTTCCCAGATTATCCGAATACGTTTTTTAACATAATTCTCATAGACGGAAAAAAACCGACGCATCGCAACTCACTTTAGCGCCATTTATCAAAAATCATTTGTGAAATGATAGAGCATATGAGATGACTCAAAAGCTGTTCAGCTGTTTCAGCAATAACTCAAATTATCTTCCTCTTCACACTATTTCGGCAATGCGAGTCTAGCCTCCTCGCTGCCATTGTTGTTTTTCCACTCAGATGATGAACTCTTTTTCTTATTTGTTCTGGACAAATCAAAATGTTCATCAGAAACAGGAGGTTCAGAGTTCTTCCTCAAAATATGGACTGGATATGGCACGAAAAAGGGAAGCAATATCCTTTTTTGAAAAAAATGGATCCCGGTAACGAACAAGTAATCTTTGATTTGATGTTGCGACGTCACTATTGAAATGATAATGTTCATTTTAAAATCTGTTGGACGAAAAATGGGGCAGAGTCTTAAAATTTAGACTAAATTCTGTCACAAGAGAAGCAAGATTTTCTTACAAAATGCGGAATGACAATAGATACTCCATTTTACGCAGTGGGCGGCGTTAGCACGCCCTCTAAGATTTTTTAAAATTCTCCCCAAATATTTCGCAAGCTCGATTGCGATAATGAAGTGATTATCTTTGAGAATAAATATATAGCTGTTCTGATTGTTCATTGCAACCATTTATATCCGTAAAAAGTCTGAGCCAATGCAACCCACAGTGTCCCATAAACAATATCTTCTCCGTAATACATCTGCTTGATGAATTGCTCTAAGGTACTGTAATTCATGAAGCGTTCTCGAAGTTTTGTCATTGGGATGAATTTTCATTATAACAGTTGCAGATGGAAATAGCGACAACGATCACATCAACACTGTCTACTTCCACTCTTGTTCCTCTCGACCGCGTGAGTTTTGATACTAGTTGTACATCGAAAACAAACTGATCTCGTGCATTAATTATGTACACACGCAAAAGGTGCCTAAATCATAGGATCGCAGGCTGCACGCAGTTCCAACAAAAATTGTGCTGCTTAACATTTTTTTTGCTTTGGACATGAATGATGCGCAAAGAGTGAAAGCGGAAAAGCAGCATTCGCTGAATATAAGGGAATGATCAGAAGCTGAAACTGCTAATCCAAGCAAGCTGCCTGCTATTCGATGCAGCATTCAGCGCTGTATCGGATCTGTATTCCATATCTGCTAAGCGCCTTTGGCGACGAAGGAGCAGTTTTATTGCGAAGAAGTCGTACATAAATATCTCGAAATTGAGCACACTTTGCACTTTCAGCTCACCTCTAAGCTCAAAGGATATAAAGTAACTTAGCTGCATGTTTTGGTCAAACATTAAGTCGAACAAGCTCTGTAATCAAATTTGCGCTTTGCATGCACAACTCTTTAGCAAAATAATGGCCTCTCACGGCTTATAACTTCGTCCGTAAAGGCCCTAAGCAGATACGTAATACAGATTCGAAGTCAGCGTTTTATGCTGCATCTAAGGGTTTGAGCTTGTCTGGATTGCCAATTCGATTTCTGACATTCCCTTGTTAGCTTATCCATTTTTATGATTTTCAGTCCTCTGTGCTATGGGTGCTGATCGTTGGTGTGATAGTCGCATTCTTTTTGGCAGCCGGTTTAGGAGCAAATGACGTGTCGAATACCTATGGAACATCCGTTGGAAGTGGTGTTGTTACAATATTTCAGGTGGGAAAAGATAATTCATTGAAGCAAGCAGTCGAAAATATCAAAGTCGTACTAAGACTACTAGCTCAAAAGAAAGTTATCTGAATAGGGCCGTTTTAAGGAGCATATATGGCCAAGATCGGATCAAAAACGATGATATCAAATCCTGTTCAAGCTGCCAAACTATTTTGAAAAAACTCTAGAGCTTTCTTTATGTTTAGCGGGAATGTAATGAACTGCTCAATATGAACAGATAGCCTGAGACAAAAATCTGCTAAAAGAAGATGTTTATGTTTTTGCACATCAAATTGAGTCCAATGATGCTGCTGATTAGCTTCACGTAAGTACATCGAGACTCAGATAATGATATTTTCAAATATAAGCTGGTACATAAGGAAGAAGTCTCTTTAACAATCGGCAGCAGAATACAGATTTGAGCTCAGGTTTTGGGGTGGTCGTGATCATATATCTTACCTTTGGCCAGCCTAGCTTACATGGTGTTTCTGTCGAAAAGACTTCTTACATCCTTTTTTATCCCAGGAAATAGTGCATGTCCTTTACAGGCGTATGTATTGGCTACAATATTCATCACGATGGGTGCACTACTAGTAGGTAAGAACCGTTTCTTTTCGTTCATTCAATAGGACATTAAAAAAAACCACTTAGGTCTATTTCCTCAGCACTGTCTTCATTATAGAATGTCATATTTCTATTAGTCCCAGAGAAAATGTATTTTTGTTCCCGCTCAGACCAATATGACTTTTTAAAACTTTGTTTGTGCAACCTTGCAACTGCAGCACATTATCATTAGTTATTTTCTATTTATTTCTGCTAATTGCTGCAAAACAGGTACCTAGTAACTCGAAATTTTTGGAAGGAAGTGTGCGAAATGATGCTAGGCATCTTAGTGCTTATAAGTATTAATTTTTATGATGAAATTCACGATTTTTCGTGGTGGAAGACTAGAATGAGTTGTCTAGAATGAGTTGTTGCCATAGGATTCATAGTGGTTAGTCAACATTACCCCTGTTTGGTAGGGAGTGTACTTTAGCTTACCCGAACTTCCAACACAGGACGTATATGAAATGCTTGCTCTGGAACGCCTTCTAGACCGTGTTAGAAATCTGCAAAACGATTCTTTTGGAGGAGTTATGATGGCTTCTTTCCCCGAATGGCATAGACCTGAGTACGCGAGTCTAAGATATTGTAATAGGTGTAGTGGAAAAGTGGCCTAGCCAGGCAAGATCACTTATTATCTTGTGAGGATTCCAATATTCCGCAGCGAATGGAGGTTTTACTCAATGTGTTGCCTTCGTTTAAATTGACAAGGGAAGCGTGTTTGATCGAAATGACCTTTTAAGATAAGACCCATGCTGCTCTGGAAAGCATTGCACAGTGATTCCAAATCTGCCTTCATTATCTGCCAAGCGCCTCTGGACGGCGAGTTATGGGCGATTAGATCAAAAAATTGAAAACTGGAACAAAATTGTTCAAAGGGTCCGTCCTGCGTCAAGTATCAGAACAGTTTATGCAATGAATACATTTGTCTAATACGCTAATGCTTAACATTGCTTTATCTGATTTTACCTCAACTCTGCATTCATTTTTCGTCCTAAAAAACGGTCATAATTTGAGGTCTAGAGGCGATTGGCAGATAACGAAGGCAGATTTGGAGCCACCGTGCAATGCTTCTTAATGGGGCATGGGTCTCGTTTGAAAACGCTACTTAGATTGAAACGCTTCCATCTCTTTTCTTCGACTCGCAATACAAGATAGAAATTTCTGTACCATCGCCACATGGGCGAGTTTATGCTCTGCAGCAATTTCCGACTAAAATTGGCAACGTCGCATGCTTTAAAGACAGAATTTTCTTATTAGACAGAAAGCACAGCTCCAACAGGGATCAAATCTGGGATATTTTGCCTGAAAGACTATTCATTTACCACAACAGAGAACCTGTACATGCTGCAACATCTTCGACTCCCGCGCGCAAGGCAATGCTCGCCACTTTGAAGAGGGTCTCATTTTTGAATCGCCTGGCAGATTTCGGACATGGATTTGAGATAAGCATTCCGGAACGACATTCCTTTCATGTTCTGTTGGAAGAGAGAGGTAAACAAAGGCTGCTTTCCGAAAGACCAACTTTGGGAGGGCAAGCTTTAGGCCTAAGGCATACCTCACGCGATTCGACCGAATGACCACTTTCACGCGACTTGGCGATTTGCCAAATTTCTACAAATTTATTGTGCGCGCTTCTCGGATGCATATTTGGGTAGCTTGTGTAAGTTGTTGCATAGGCGACAAAACGTGTGAAATGCAAGCAGCGTAAAGTCCGTACCTTAAAACTATGGGCCATTCATCAATGGCGTCGCGTTATGTATCGGCGCCGAATTCCATCCAACTGTTTTCGCCGCCGGAAACGTTTTGCACGGGTTTTAAGAAGTACAAGAAAGTGGGTGTCGTTTAACGCTGTATCAGCTCAGCTATTATAAATGCATCTGGTAGAGTTTACTAGCTCTTTCCGCGCATGCCCTGCTTCAAATTTCGCTTATTCAAAAAATTTTGGAAGAAAATATATTCTGGGGCATTGAAGCAAAAAAAGGCACGCCAAAAAAGCATTTTTTCGATTGGACTATTTTATCCAGAAATTGAGATTTTTTGCAAACTTGTGCTCATCAGGAAGAAAAAAGTTTTCAAACTATTCCAAATAGGATGACTCACATAGAGGTGTTCTCAATGGCCTTTGAGGAGGACGAAGGGCGTGAAACAGGCCTTTGTTGAAATATAGGACAACTAACAAACCTGTCTGGCAAGCAGTACTAAAAAAATACTTCCTTCTGGATCGTCTTTATGTCAAGGGCTACCACCCCAGCTTCCTGCATTGTCAGTATCAATTTCAATTTTGTTAGGAATGAAGGTTACATTCTAGGATGGCAAGTTACGGACATGATGCGGAAAGGCGTCGTAGACGTAGACGAGTACAAGAACGCTCCGCACGAGCTCATGCTGGGACAATTGGCTGTTCTTGGAGGTATTTCTTGCAATCATTCGTGATAATTTTCAGGGTCAAGCAGAGCTGATTCATGTTATCACAGGAACAGCAACCTGGTTAGCCATCACCACTGCACTGAGCCTACCGGTATCCACCACACATGCAGTCGTGGGATCCACACTTGGATTCTCGCTTGTACTGCGTGGAACAGAAGGCGTTGAATGGTATGAGATCGGCAAAATCGGTAAGTGAAAACAGGATAACATTCTTGTCTTCTCCTTCTTCTTTTTTTGCAATATTATCACCATGGATACTTGAGCAGCTCAACACTAACGCCAAATCTTCCCTGAATGTCAAAAATAATCATAGCGTTTTGAAAGAACGGTGGTAGATATTAAGTAGAGCAAACCTTTGTCTAAACTACGCCCATTTTAGATTACGTGATTCACGTTTATCTATCAGGTCTGTAATAATTACTGATTTGGGAAAAACCGCGTATTTTTGATCACAGCAGCAAGCAGTCTAGCACAAAGGAGTACCGAAAATTCCAAAACTGTTTCTACAAAGCAAATCAAACTCATTTGTCTTGTGCAAATAATGTTTGATAGCAATCAAGCTTTAACTCGCAGAAACTTTGGAAGCTTTCGTGTTTTTGCAGCAGCCGCGTGTTTATGACTTTACCAAAAAATTAAGATTTACGAAGAAATGATTTTTCAAGGCTACACCAGCAGAGCAGAAGCATCTAAAAATATTGTCGAGATTAGAGACTCGCTGTTTTAGTGCCATACTTAATCCTTTCCAAAACTTTCGAATGAAATTCTGTAATAGCTGAACTTTGAGCAAATAGAAATGTCGGGTGAAGATGTTTGGTAATTATCAAAAAAAGAGGATCTGGTTTGAAAGTGCAAAAAAGAAAAGAAAAAGCTGCATCGGATGCATATTGAAACTATAGAATTTCATTGTGCATGGTTTTATAGCCATTTGAATAAGCAACAAAACTTTTGGAACAACCTAATATAATAGACTCTTTACAACACGAACTTTCATATTTGTGGAAATCCTCTAATTCTGACTTTATCTGGGCTATTCAAGAATTCCACTGAGTTTCATATCGCTAAAAATATCAAACATGGCATGAGAGCAATAGCAAAACATGGAATGCATCTGGTGGAACACGGTTTTTTCAATAGCTAATTGTGTAGCAAGGCCCTACAAACATTCAGATTAATGCAGAAACTTACCATGTTTTTTTGCCTTCAAGAGGTTTCCCCGTTTCTGTCTGTCGATTTTCGCACAATCAACAGATAGCTCCAGACGCAGTTAAAGGCAGTGTCCCGGCAGAAATTCGCCCCCTCGATTTTTCACCTCTTCGAAGCCCTTTCGCTATGCTGAAGCCATATGTGGGCTTTTCAGCGCTTGAAAATGGCAAGAGCTTTTTTGGAAGCTCTCCATGTCGGCGTTCGCTCCAAACTACGTGAAGTGGGCGGGGTCTGGAAGACTTCCGGAGCGGATTTTGGGCTTCCCAGAAGCGCTTTTTCGCTCCAGACTTCACGGATAGACTGTCTGAAGGATCTAGTTGGAACACTGTCAAATCCCGGTACCCATCATTTTGAGGGGACGCTGCATTTAAGTAACTCCTATCAAAACCTTTGAGCTATTTCACACGTTATGAATCACCGACCCACCCTAACCCTTTTCCTTACATGCGTTGACAAATTCGGCAGGAATAGCTGCATTCGCAGCCCACAGCATATTCTACATATATATACAAGAAATGAATGCGCTGCATTCAAAAATAAAAGGCGTCAGGTACCCTTCGCTTCAATCAAATGTTACTGAAAGGTGGAGCTTCTGACCCAGGAGACGACTGCTCGCGTCCGCGACGCAGTCTGCGCCTCCCTTCCGAACATGCTCCCTGAACATTTTCTAGCCTTAATCAGGTCAGAGCCCCCGTCTTCCAGCGCCGATCTGGTTGAAGCAAAGGGTAGCTGCCAAATACAATTTTGTGCTTCTACAAATCGCTTCAGTTGCTCAGAAATGAACAACAACTGGTTAAAAGATAATTCTTGAAATTGCCACTTGGTAAAAACCTCCTAAAAATGAAATTACAGTTATGTCTTGGTTTTTGTCTCCTGCAATATCTGGCGCAATCACTCTGATACTATACCTGCTAGTAGATTTTGCGGTATTGCGACGGGTCAGTCTGTTATACTTCGAAATAAGCAGAAAGCTTGTGAAAGTAGCAGTGCTAATTCAGAACCATCCATTCGACTGCGGCCTCCGGTCTCTTCCGTACTTTTACTTCGCCGTCATCTCCTTCAATGTATTCATGGCCACATGGGATGGATCAAGGCGTAAGTCCACTAGACTTTTCAAATCCACTCTTGACATTTGTATTGCAGTTCTGCACTTTGATAAGATCCCAATATGGGGATGCGTGATACTTGCATTAGGAATCGGGTTGATAGCAGCGTTGCTTGTCCATTTTATTCTAAAACCACGGCTTCGGAGAAAGATTAGGGGTAAGTGGTTGTTTCGTCCTTCGCATAATACAATAATATCATACTTACAGAATCAGCATATGATGTTGAAGCTACACAAAATCCACCCACTAAGACTAAGCTTAGTGAGGCGGATTATTCGGAATGCAGCGAAGATAGTGGAGCTGTTGGCAGTATGTTATTAGATTTTTGAGGCAAAGAATATATGTTCGTCGAATATTTCATACTAAAGCGTTATTGTTTATTGAAGCTGTTGGAAAAGTAGGTAATATTTTTTTGCTGGTACTAAAGCAAATAACTTGCCTAAACCAGTTCAGCGGACTTATTTGTAGCTGCACAGAAGTGTACCTCAGCTTGAGCTATTTGTATGTATCAGGTCGTCCTATAAGTTCTGTCCGTTTTACTTTGACCCTTTCATAAAGCAAACTCTACAATATGGCGCTCTTGATTTTGCACCAGCTCCATACCAGCGCGAATTTGAAGCGTGAAGCGAAAAACCTAAAAGATTCTATTGCTCGAAAAATCAAGAAAAAATCGTAACTCCGTCCAGAAATTCCTACAAAAGTCATAAATTGCTCATGCATGCACTTTCCAGTTGAGACGTTTATATGTACCGTGTACCGCTGCATTTTTTCTTTGACTAGATTTTTGGGGAGACCAGAATTTTCATACTTTTGCCAAAGTGATGCTGTGCTGTTCCCACACAGGTGATTGTATGTATACTAAGGCCTTCAGAAATATAAACGAACCTTTAGATTTCTGCAAGTTTTGGTTCTCGAGAAATATGGATTTTAACATGGGAGACTCGACCAAGAGTAGAAAGAGTAGCTTGACTTGCAATTCCTCGAAAACTAAACCGTAGAAATTTACGTTTGTACTTCTAGAGGCTTATAGTATACAACATCTTATATGGAGACAGTATAGCATCACTTTCGCAAGAGCATGAAAATTCTAGTTTTTCAAATTCTAGTCAAAAAACACAATAATGTTTCATATAAACGTCTCATGTGGAAAGTGCATGCGTGAGCAAGTTAGAATTTTTCTAGTATTTTTTGGATATCACAATTTTTCGTGATTCTTCGGGCGATTGAATCATTTTGGTTTTTCTCTTCAAACTCGCGCTGGACTGAAGCTGGTGCAAAAGCAAGAGCGCCATCTTGTAGTTTGCTCTCTATCGAATGCCCTATCTAGAGATAGGAAATGTATGAGTTATTGCCGGTAAAAGTCAAAACGGACGAAACGTTTTTGTTTTCGGTTATCAAAGTGCTCGGCATTAGTCACACCATCAGAAAAGTGGCAAGTTTCACCAATATTTTGACCTTGCAATTCGAAAAACTGAGAGGGTGGCGGTGGCCGCATTTCCGAGTTTTTTTCGGCTGCTTTGAGCTTTCATGAAGCCACCTCACTTCAAAGCATTTGCGTAGACTTATTCATGTAAAACACTTCATCAATATCACTTCCACGATACATTGTTTACAGAAGTGAAGCGTTTCATGAAATGGCTTCTACCGGATAAAAATCGAGTGGACGACGAAAAAACTATTCAACTATTCGGTTCCATACAGCTTTTCACCGCCTGTTTTGCAGGTTTTGCTATCGGTGCAAATGATGTGGGGTAAGCACAGTAATCAGCAATGCACGATGCTGCAGTAATCTACTGTTTTCAGCAACGCCATAGCTCCCGTGGCATCTTTGGTGGATATCTACACGCATCGGAGTGCTGAGCAAAACTCACAAGTACGATTATCTCATGAAGGAAGCTCTTTTAGTTGAAGTGGTTTTATCAAATGACTCCTATACCACTTTTAAGGGCATTGAGTGATTCCGAATATGTTTTCCTTCTTCACGAAGCAACTCACTGAAAGAAACTATGAGCATTTGAATGTCTAGATTATATGTTTGAATGGTTAAAGTTAGCGAAAAGCTTTATAAGAAAATCTAAAGGTGGGTAATCAATCTTGTAAAATGTTTATTCAATACTAGGAAGGGGTACAGCCAGTGGGAATCAGCGTATAGGGTTTCGTAAACTTCCGCTAATTTTGTGCTACGTAAAGCTTGACAAATTTGAAAATTTAAACGTTCCTAACTTTTTTTTCGAAAATAGTTCTGCAAGGATGGAAAACGATTTGGAATTAGGCTCAATGCTCTTTAAAGTGGTACAGGAGTCATTTGTAAAGGTCACTTCGACTAGATGGGCTTTCTTTGTCAGTTGAAATTATGAAATTGGATCTTGCAAGTCAGTTGCCCACAATTTAAAGATTTTGGAGCTTCATTGAATTGGTGATTACTGTCTCCAACCAAGCAACAGAAGAAGATCGAGTTCAGCATGGTCTTTCAGCCAAGAAATTTGTTTTCGCTTGGCTCACCCGAGCTTGCGATATGTTCTCCCGTAGAGTGCGCATGCGGCAGTAATCATGAGGCTCGCATCTCCAATCCTGGCAGGCCCTGCTTCCATTGTCCATGAAAGATGAAGGGCTTTGAAAAAGGCACTCTCGCCAGCGCGCTTTTGTACACTTCGAAACGCGTACTGGATATCAGGTAATTAAACAAAGGTTGAGATTTGCCGAGTTACTGCTTTCAATATGGCGATCTTACCAAAAAAAGATTCAAATCATGTCATCAACACTGCAATATAAATTACCGAACATCCTTTTTTGCAGCTTAGAATCAGGTGCATAATCATACAACTTTTATTATTACGAATCTTTGTGCTGAAAAGTTTGATTGAGTAGAGGGCGAATTTTGCCGATAGCTTTCCGCACGGCATCGTCGTCCAACTGGCACGAGGTGTGGTGTGTAAAGATGGGTGGTTTGTTGCAAATTTGCGCGGAGAATCTCCTTTTGGTTATAAAACGTACTTTCCCAAAGTGGAACAAGAGCGTGCTTTGTTGAAGGCAGCGTCTGGGTAAATCGCCGACTGATCGTTGTCCTTATTCGGACTGAGCTCACTATCGTAGTGAGCAAGAATATGGGTTGCAAGTTGTTCGAAAAGGTCGAAATAAGGAATTTCCGTACATTGTGTGAGAAAGCCTAGACTAGATCGACAATAAGAGAGTATGTTATCGAACTGGATAGTGTGGAGAGTGCAGATGTGCTTGCTGAGCCTAATCAGAATCAATATGCATTGGTGATGGTCGGGCGAGCGACCTTTTCCAGATTTTTTCGCCTTCTATGTCAAATCATGACATCGCGCTTGGGCGATGTTGAGGGGCCCTGATACCTAATTGCGTGAAAAGTTCTCATTCCCCACAAGTTCGTCCTCCTCACTTTTGCTCAGAAGCTTTTTGGTCTTCTGATATTAATGCTGTAGAACACAGTAAAATCTTCTTCAGTTTGAGCGGAACATAATGGGCAAACAGAGAATAAGTGTGAATTTCACAAGAAGTAGAAACGATCAGTTGCTTCAGTTTTGAGAGATGTTGAAGCATGTTATTCTCGTTCAGCCGATAACTAGACACATAAGGTCATTCACATGTCTAATAATTTTTGAACTTGCTAAAATGCAAGTCAGTTATTGACAAATATGGAAGTTTGAGCAAACTTGTTAAGCACGATCATCTGAAATACTGCAGTAGGTGATGGGACAGTCACCAAACCTGCGAGCTCGCTGGTATCAACTCTTGCACCCAGGGGATATGGTCAGTAGCGGTTTCAAAAACGTACGTGTTGACATCTGCGCAAGTAAATGCACAATTTTCTATCGCATCTAATGCTCTTTTCGCTCTATCCATTCATGTGCAGCTTACCTCAACTTCGTCCTGCTTTGGAAATTATAGTCAACAAGAGCTTTCGTTTTTTTTGATGCGCTGAAAAATCGCAGTTTTTTGGGTTTTTGTTTTTTTTCTAAAAATATAATAGAAAATACTTCCGCATAACCATTACATCAGTTTGAGAGCATAGAAAGCTTTTTAAACGGTGTGTCATTTGCTGTATGAATCTACGGTATAACAGCGCGAGATAGAGGGATGTTCTGAAAACCCTTCCGAGTTTTTAAGGCGCAACGTCAAGGGCTTTGAAACAGGAGCGGCAACACATTGCTAGCATAATAAGGTAGGTGAAGTTTGAGTTGCAGCCTTCTTGCTGCTGGTGAAAACAAAAAATCTTGAAATTTAACAGAAATCGAGCTTGTCCATTACTTTCCGTTCAACCTAACATTATGTTATACTTGCTCATAGGAAGCTCAAAAGCGTTACCTGCGTTAGGTCAATTCGATTTTCAAAAACTTGACATAAAGATTCAACTAAGGAGTATCTAGTATACTGCCTTGTTTTCATTTGCTTCTCCAGTGTGCTCTGCGAGAAGCAAATGGAAACAAGGCAAAATTTAACTAACAATAAGAACTAACTATGCGATGCATTTTTCTCATGTCGGTCACTGTAATTCATTCAATCAGCATGGGTTTGAGTATATCACCATTTGCACAGCACGCCGACTGTCAGATTGTTTCTCCATGATCCGTCGTTGTGATCCCCACGTCATCCTTGCCAATAACTACACGGTTCGGATGCCAACCATATCATATGGTAGTAGACTTTGTCAAAAATTCCTGAGCTCTCAGGATTCACATGGATGTCTTCTCCACCATGTCTTCTCCAGTCAATCATCCTGACTCCAGCATCTGGCGGGTGCGGCCAAGGCAAGGTTGACGAGCTGTCTGGCAGAGATTTCTTTCCTTTTCATGAAGCTGTGGCATCAGTGGGCACAACCGCTGATATCTTCGCATCCGAGCCTCTGGGTCACCTCAGTAGCATTGGCTTTTATCCTAGCTCTTATAACTTTTCTGCTTTTTCTGTAGCTCAAAACCATCCCTTTAACTCTTCCACAGTCGGACTTTTTGAAGGAGCTCTTCTAAACGCTCCTTTGAATCTGTTACATCCTCTGGGCTCATGCTGATCACTTCGCCATTTTTAAACCTTCTATCTGATTTCTTGATTATGCGGCTAAAGAAGGCTGGGCTATCTCATGCTCAGCCTCGTAATCCACTGCTTTCAGCTCAATTTCGGCTCAGTCTGACTTCCTCTTGTAGAAACAACCGAATTTCCACTTTGAGAGGAGCAAAAATGTAGCTCGCTTGCGCTAAACTCTTAACTGAGGGCGCCGCTCCCCTCGCCGCAAAGGCTTTCATGCATGCGAGCTTTAGAATATAATTTATATAGGTGTCCGTACAATCCTATAGAGATTGCTTTACTCTACCAGTCAGTAATTCAAACCTCACTGAAATTTGATATGGTTTTGTTCATATCGGTATAAAAACAACGATACGAAATGTTTTTACTGTTCTTCACTTCTGAGACCGTTGTCAACTTTGTTTGACATATGCTTGGCATAATTTAGGTTCCCATCTACGTTCTCCTTTATGGTGTTGTTGGTATATGTGCTGGAATGTATACCTTAGGTTATAGAATCATCAGAACCGTTGGCACCAATGTCAGCAAGATCAACCCAGCCACGTACGTTACTCCCTGTTTTCACGTAATCACATTTCAAGCCTCTTTTTCAGTGGATTTACTATAGAGTTTGGTGCGGCTTTAACTACTCTAGTTGCCAGTAAATTCGGCTTGCCCATGAGTACAACGCAATGCCTGGTATCTCACATAACGATTCAATGATATCTTATTTCATCAAATTCTACAGGTTGGCTCTGTGGTCCTTGTTAGCTGTGTACGACCGGGAGAAGGAGTGAAATGGAAAGTTTTTCGCGATATAGTTATTGCCTGGGTTTCGACGGTACCTATGTCAAGTGAGTACTTGCGTGTTCTCGAATTTTTACTGATGCTGATAGTTGCGAGAATGCTTACTTTTCAGCTGCGATCTCGGCAGGGATAATGTTTCTTTTGAAGTTCACTCTATAGAAGGAACTAAAACGACAATCTGGACAAATACTTTTGTCTGTATATAGATCAAAAATAAACCAAATTTCTCTGCGAATTTTCAACATTGTAAGTGAAGCATTACACAGCTAAAACTATGCGTGGTTCCCAATGTAGGTGCGTCAAACAGTCAATAAAAGAGAAAGAGCTGTCAAGGAACTATACTCTGTTACATGTCATCAGGGTCAAGCGTAGTGTGTGACATGCCACACCTGGGGGGGGGGGGGATCGTATTGGGAGGTCAGGAAAGGGGGAGGGTTGTTATCGAAGTGAAACTGATGTTAGCGATAACATGATGACACTGTCAGATATGCATTATGCAAAGTACTAGTATGCTATGTAATACTAGCACATTGATGTTTTGTCCCATCGCATACGTACAATACGCATATTGAAAGAGCCTTAAAAGCTACAATCATTTTCGTAATTATTAAGGTGTCCCATAATTTTTTTTAACCGTTTTTACTACAACCGTCGTCTCTTTGTATTTTTCCTTTAACTGATGTGGCTTGAGTAATCATTCGACAGGGCAAAGCACGCTCTACAAGATGGCTATGAAGAATCCGCCCAAATCGTATTTTACCGGAAGTTTTGAGCTAAAATCTGATAGCAGTCGGAAACGAACTTTTCCTTCAAAATTCGTATCTCCGTCCCAAAATGTCTTAAAAAATCCTTATTTATCCTAGCATATGCTTGACACATCGCATATTCAATTGCACTACTTCCGTGTTTCTTTCACGGCTAGAAACAAAGGAAAAATGAATGGAGTAAAATGGCAAACTCCGCCCCTAGAAGTCCTGAGCTCCTCCCATACATGCGATCATATAGCTCATACATACAGAAGTACGATCATGTATTTGTACCCTTTGTAGGTGCCCACTTTTCGAGAAATGATGATGTCTAGGGCGAAAACGGCAAAAAATCATGAGACACCCTAACAGAAATAACCTACCGATTACGGAGTATCCTGCCATATCATTGCTTCCAGATTTGGTATCTTCAAGCACCTGCTGATGGGTAAAAAAGGTGCGCGTTACCTCAGAGATAAATCATAGTCAGCTCTGAGCTATAACTCTGAGTTTCGACAGGTTTAACCGACCCAGCAAAGTCTCTTTCATAGATAAGCGACCCCTGTTTTTTGCATCCCGTCAGGTGCAGTTTGAAGCGAGAAAATGTCAAAAAAAAGAGCTATTTTGTTAACGGTCTGAGTACAATACCACTGACAAGACGTGCAAAATTTTCTCTGTAACTTCGCGGAAATCCGAGACATTCCCGCAGTTTCGGATTCAGATTTCCGCTTGGATGGATTACTCAATGTGCTGACAACATCACTTATTGTATTGCTGCTGGTGGCACTTATAGGAAAAATCCGCCAAAATATACGACTTTCGAATTTGAGGAAAGTTCATGAGAACGCAAATTGTAACATCTTAATCTGATGAATAGTGGAGATAGGTGCTGTGCCAAGCATGGCCAAATTGCGTTGTTCACTAGTGTCTAACTTACAAAAAATATGCAGGCAAGTTCTTCAATAAATGGGCGAAAGGTGGAGTCGAAGTTACGATCTTGCGTAGTCTAGCTACTTCTATTTCAGTCTAGCCTTACTGTAAGACTCTCCAGTGCAATATAACTAAGACTATCGTAAGGATTGGGACCAAAAACCACTGTGAGAGAAGTTTCCGGTCAATCCAAGAACATCGACATTTCAATCAAATCCTGCGGCGAGGTCAAGAGCGAGGAACGAGAAAAAATCGAATGGCACTAGTTCCTTGGTAAACTTGACCATAGATGTTATCCGATCAGTTATTACAAGAATTAGGTTTGAATTGCAAGAAGGCTTCTAATTGTAGGGTTACTGTTGATAGATTTCAGATATTTATGGATTTCTCCAAAGTTCAGTTTTCGCCTTCACATCCAAGAGCTTCTGTCGGGAGGCTGCTCTTCGAATGACGCTTATGGGGGGGGGGGGCCCTATGTATATGTAGAAAGCATTGGGTTGCACCCTTACAACTCGTCCGTAGAGCATAATTAAAGGTTTCGAATCTAGGTGAGACTCAACCTGAAACTCAAAACAGACATGCCTATCAAAGTACCAATGTCAAATCAGCTTTTTAGGTGCTGCTATAGAGCTCGGTAACTAAGTTGTTCGTAGACTTCGCGAATCCCCGAAATTCAGCAGTTATCAAATCGTTTCTGAGAAAGAGCATCCGTATAATTTTCTGTTGAGGATGATGTGTGGACACGGCTCTTCCGAAGGATACTTACTGAACCCACTTATGTAAAATATGCGCTGCGTTACACCATAACGAAAACACGCTCACAATAATTTATGTTCACTATGTACAGCTACATCACGCAAGTACTATGTATCAAAATAAGTTATCTCTTACATGATGACGTCATAATGGAAATCACCTACTATCCTTCGAACGAACATGGGAGCAATACTGAAGACAAATTCGAGTAAATTGACCTTACATTGTTCTCACACATACGCATCACTACTTGTTCCGCTAGAAGAGGTTTTGACTGTCGAGTCACAAATAAGATGTCGTAGGTTGCCGCGCATTGTGCAGGATGTAAGTTACAAAGTTATAAATGACAAGCGCACAATCATTGCGATCAGTGTATCAAATAGCCAACGTGAACAGGTTCTTGCCGTACCCCTACAGCGGCACTTCCTCCTCCTAAGCAGTGTTTCTGATAGAAAGAAATGATTACCATAAATGCTCGGTAACGATTGTTCGCAACTGTGCATTGCATTAACACATTCACAACAAGGCCGATTTTTCAATTACTGCCGTTTCAGACCAGAGCCTTTTTCGCTTTGTCAAACTTACGACCCACCCGTGGGTCGTATTGTCCGAAATGGTAGTTTTTTTGGAAGAGATTCAAAACATGTCTCCGGAAATATCCCCACAAGGTTATCTATCGAAGGCGCTGATTACCAAAGTATGATTTATTTCAGTTTTTGGCAGTATACGGTAAAGTTACGGTAGTCATGCTATACGAACCCAATATCACGGATTTCCCTAAAAAATTGTGTTTTGGGGTTATTTCACATGCTGATCACGATTATAGTGTCCACTTTGTTCACTACTCTCCCACATTGGGGCTACGGTAGCAGTGCAGTAGAATTTTCGTAAGAATCAAGAAACTGATGTAAGAAGGCGGTAATAGAACTTGAGACTATCATTTTCGTAATCAGCATGCTAAAAACCGTCTTTATGCAAGGCTTGGGCTTCGTGGCGAACAATGCGAAAAATCAATAAAATCAATAAAATCGATAGTTTTTGATGGGCTGACATCTCGTGCTCTCTCTGTATTTCTCGTACATGTAAACTTGAATTGTCAAAAACAGCACCACTCTGCGGAAATTTGAAAAGTCTGTGCCTTACCTCTATCCACAGTATACCTACCGTAGCATTACATTACAGTACCCCGAACACGGACCACTCCGGCTAGAGCTTTACCAACACAGATAATCGCCGGGGGCAGGCGGTTCGCAAACTCGGGCTTTTCTGCAAGCGGTCAGCAGAATTTTGGGGCGTGGCCAAACCCTCAGCGGGCGGCACTTCCTTTACTGTCTGATTTTCTGCCAGCGGGCAGCAACACAGAATTTTCTGCAGGCGCTCGTCAAATAATCTCTTTCAGCGAGCGCTGGTCAAAATTTCAGCTGGCGCTTGGACGGTTTTTAAGCAGTTTCGGGCGTACGCCGAGCAAAGGTGAGACTCTACATGGCAGAGGTGTCATCGATGGTTTAATTACTCAAGTTTGAGGTACTTTCTCTCAGCGGAAAGTACCTGGGGGCTGCGCGGTCCTCCATAAAGGACCGTGCGGCCCTCAAAAATTTTGCATATTCTCGCGGAAAGTCCGCGAGAATGCGGCCACTGCGCCGCAGCTAATCTATGAGTAAACCGCTATTGTTCTCCAAGCATTCGTCCAAAATTTCGCTGAAATTCTTCCAGATATCTGCAAGCGGACCGCGAGAAATCCGCGAACTATTTTTTCGGTGCCCGCCCGCCCATAGATCTCATGGCCGCCTGCCCCCCGCGATTATCTGAGAAGATGTTCCCAATCATGTGACAGAACCCTGTAGAATTCCATCGCGTACTGGCAAAGTTAGAGCTTCAGGAACCTTACGACCCACCGGTCGGTCGTATTGTCCGAAACGGCAGAACACGTACGACCCACCGGTGGGTCGTATTGTCGTGAATGTGTTAATGTGATAGGGAAGGGCGCCGTCGTAGTAAGACCATGGTATAAAAAAAATCTCACTAACGGAAAGGGAAAAAAGGAAAAGCAAATGAAGGTGTATTGAGTTGGCAGAAAAGTTTTCGGACATATAATCTCGATAGAGTTTACGTTTATCAAAATTTTTCCGGTTGTCATCTGAATGGGTACGTAGTTTTTCGAAAAAGAAGCCAAAAATGGACATGGTAATTCGCTGAACTCTGCCTGATAAATGCTATGATACTCTCATATGCTCTAATATACAGGGTGTCCGTAAAGTATGTATACACTGTTTGATCGTTGCCGAAAAGCAAGCCGAACAACCAGAAAACTCTCTTGCTAGGCCAGTTGAAGCCGCTAAAAAACCAAATATGATATTTGCACTTTACCGCAATGCTTCCTTCATAAGTTATGCCAGGTAGACCGCAATAGCTGCTTTTACAAGACTCCATAAAATCGTGATTACACCATTTTGAAAGCTTTGCAAACTTGAAAAAAGTTGAATAATAAAATCAGCGAGCTTGGAAACCCTAGTACACCACTTTTCAGATTTTTTGGAAACTTTTTTTGAAACACGGTAAATCCGTAATGACGCTATAAGCTGGAACTAACCTAGCATGAGAGTTTTCTGGTTGTTCGGCTTGCTTTTCTACCGTAATCTTACAATAATGAAAAGCCATCCGTGATTCGCTCTACTGTAAATCTAAGTTGAAGCCAGCTCTATAAAATGGTGCTTAGAGGAAAGCAAAAGACTTCTTGGGAGAAGAGATATCAACGATCAAACAGGTATACATACTTTACGGACACCCTGTATAGAGAGT